CTCCATTCCCTCCCGCTTGCCTCCGCCCTATTTCTTCAATCTCCCCGCTCCTCCCGCCCCTCCATCTCCTTCATCCTCCCGCTCTCCGCCCCTCCGATCCCCTCCATCCTCCACCACATTCCACCTCCCTCGACATCCTCTCTGGCATTCGGAAGGGGGCATCAGGGGTCCGGACCCTAGGCTACCTCCGTACGTCCAGGCATTTTCGATTGGGGGAATTTCGCTCGGGTGATCCGTGGAGGAGGGGGGGGGGAAGGGGAGGGGAGGGGCGGAGGAGGGAGGGGCGGAGGAGGGAGGGGAAAGGGAGGGAAGGGGAGGGGAGGGGAGGGGCGGAGGAGGGGAGGGGAGGGAAGGGGAGGGGAGGGAGGGGAGGGGAGGGGAGGGAAGGGGCGGAGGGAGGGGAGGGGAGGGGAAGGGGAGGGGCGGAGGAGGGGAGGGAGGGAGGGGAGGGGAGGAGGGGGAGGGGTCGTTCTTCCTCTTCCTCGTTTTGATTTTTTTTAATACTTTTTTTCTCTTTCTTTTTCTCTTTTCCTCTTTCTGTCTGTCTGTCTGTCTCTCTGTCTCTCTGTCTCTTCTCTCTCTCTCTCTCTCTCTCTCTCTCTCTCGCTTCTATCTTCTCTCTCTCTTCTCTCTCTTCTCGTCTCTCTCTCTCTCTCCTCTCTCTCTCTCTCCTCCCTCTCTTCCTATCTCTGTTTTTTTTCTGTATGCTGTCTTCTTTTTCTCTCTTCCTCTGTTCTCTAGTCTCTCTCTCTCTCTCTCTCTCTCTCTCTTCTCTCTCTCTATCTCTCTTTCCTCTCTCGTCTCGTCTCTCTCCCTCTCTCTTTCTCTCTCTCTTCTTCTTCTTCTCTCTCTCTTCTCCTCTCCCTCCTCTCCCTCCGCTCCTCCTCGCTCCGCCGTGCGCCTCCCTCCTCCCTCTTCCTCCTCCCTCTCCCTCCTCCGCTCTATCTCTTCTCCATATTCTTTTACATTTTCCCTTTACTCCTTTCTTTCTTTTTCTACATCGTTCCAATTCGAAACGGGCCAAAGGCCTCGACCCTCGCATTGTCTGTCTCCCCTCCTCTTCCGATCTCGGGAGTCGAGGGGGCGGCCGGTGACGACCGTGGCAGAACCAGCCCGCTCGCCACGTGAAAGGGAGGGAGCGGAGGAGGGGACGGGGTCCGAACTGCATCTCCTCCAGTCTCTCCCCGCGCCGCGAATACAACGCACAGCCCCATCGCATCCTACCCACTCCTCCCTCTTACGACAATATTCCTTTACCTTCATTCTTCTTGCTCTCTTACCATCGTTCCTCCTCCTCTCTCCCTCTCTCTTTCCTCCTCCCCTCCCTGACTCTTCCGCTTCTCTCTTCCCTCTCCCTTTTACCTCTCGTTGCTTTCCCTCTCTCCCTAGACCTCGTCCTTTCTTTTCCTCCCTCGACCTCCCCTCACCTTCCTTCTTCTCCATCCCATTCCTACCTTTCCCCGCCTTCCTCTCTTTCCCTCTACTGCTCAGACCTTCCTTGCTTCATATCCGCTCCTTTTTCATCTCTCCACACTTTTCTTCATGGCACCTGTCGTTAGGTTTTTCGATACCATTCTATATCATCATATATATATAATATATTATATATAATATACATATCATATATATCTATTATATATATATAATATAAATACATATATATATATATAATATCTACATAGTATACTATAGTAATATATATATATCACTATATATAGTATGTATATTATGTCTATTATGTTCAAGTTATTTAATATCATATACTAAGTGTCCTATATGTAATATGTATAATATTATATTATATAATATATTACTATATACATATATAATACTAATATATTATATACTATATATATATATATCTATAAATATATATGTATTATCTACTATATATCATATATATTAATATAATATCAATATATACATAAAATATACCTATGTATATTATTACTATATATATAGTATATAAATATATACATATACTATATATATAATACTGTATAGTATATCGTATGTATCATTGTGTATCTACCACATACCATGCCATCATCTCTTCACAATTATGCCCGTCTCCCCAGACTCATCAGGAGAATCATTTCTCTTTTTTCTTTTCCCCGCCCCTTCTCTTCTAGTTCTATCAAATCTATCTCGTAAGTCGGTACTTTCTTGTCTCATGTCTACCTTGTCTTATACTACTCATATGCTGTCGTCTAATCTTCTCTACTCAACCTATGCGTGATGCTATCTCATTCATATATAAACCTCTTTATCTAAGTCCTACCTCTGTTATCTATCTAACCTCCAGCGGCCCCCCCTCCTCCCCTCCCTTGCCTCTTCTCCCCCTACTGAGGACACACCTCTTTTTCCCTTCGAAGTGCGAGCCAGGGGGGGGGCGCAGGGAGGGGACAAGGGGAGGGAGCGGGAAATGTCTGAAGGTTATGGGAGAGGGTGTGCGATGGGAGGGGGCGAGAGTACAGAGAGGAGAAGAGGGAAGAAGGGAGGAAGGGGGCCGGTGTCAGAGACCAGGCATGTTCGCACGCAATATGAACTACTTCGTGTTGATTAGCATCCCCCTTCCTCCGTGAACCCCTCCTTTTTTTGTCCCTTCCTCTCCCTCCATCCGTTGCCCTCCCCTATTCCTCATCCCGCGTCTCTTCAATGTCTCCTCATCCCTGCCTTCAAATCGTATCCCCCTCCTTTCTCTCCCATTCAGATCTCTCCCCCCCTTCAGCCTCCTCCCCCCCCCTCCCTCCCCTCCTCTCTCTTCTCCCTCCCCTGCCCCCCCCACTCACCCACCCACAAACTCCACACACACCCATGCATGTGCACACGGACAGTTGCAGGGTGGTGTGTGTTCGCGTTCTTGTTGTGCTGTGTTTTTTATGCGCATATTTTGTTGTTGTTGTTTTTTGAATGTGTGAGTGAGATTGGGAGTCAGTTTGGGTAAGGTACATCTTCTACTCTGTCTCTCTGCCTCTCTTTGTCTGCTTCTGTTTCTTTCTGTGTGTCTTTGTCTGTCTTGTCTCTGTCTGTCCTGTCTGTCTCTGTCTGTCTGTCTGTCTGTCTGTCTCTCTCTCTCTCTCTCTCTCTCTTCTCTTCTCTCTCTCTCCTCTCTCCTCTCTCTCTTCTCTCTCTCTCTCTCTCTCTTCTCTCTCTCTCTTCTTCTCCTCTTTTCAACCTTGTTCTCTCCTCACTCTTTCTCGCCATATCTCTCATTCCCTGTGCCTTTATTCCCAGTTTCTCCCTATCTCTCAAACTTCTTCCTTCCTTTCTCTATCACTTCCCCTTCCTCCCTTTTAGTCTATATCTTCTCCCCTTTCTTCCTTTTCTCTCTCCCTTCCCTCCTTTCATTAATTTCTCTCTCTCTCTCTCTCATTCTTCCCTTCCTTCTACTCTCTATTTCTTTTGTTCTCCCTCTCCCTCCCTTCCTTCATTTTTTTTTTCTTTCTCTCCCTCTCCCTTCCTTCATTTCTTTCTCTCTCTCCTCCTCTCCTCTCATCTTCCTTTCTCATTTCTCTCTCTCTCCCTCAAACCCTTCCCTTCATTTCTCCCCTCTCCCCACCTTTCCTTATTACTCCCTCCTTTTCTTCTATCTCTCTCTCCCTCTTTGATCCCTTTCTCTCCATCTAACTCCTTCCCTTTATTTTCTCCCTCCTCCCTCTTTCCTCATTCCCCTTCTCCCTTCTAATTCTCCCCCTTTACTTTTTCTTTTCCCTCTCCCGCTCCCTCTCACCTTCGATTCCCTTTCTCTTTCTCTCTCTCCCATTTCATCAGCTTCTTATTCTCCCTCTCTCGCTTCTCCTTCTCTCTTCCCTCATCAGTTCATTTTTTATTATTTCTCTCTCTTTGCCTCAAAAAGAATAAAGAATGAACATTTTTGACGAGACTAATGGTGGACATTTTTATCTTTACTTAATCAGTTATAATAATAACTGATGATGATGATGGTGATAGAGAGAAGGAGAAGAGAGAGAGAGAAATGAGAGGAAAGAGAAATGAAAGAAGGGAGGGAGAGGGAGAAATATAAAGGGAAGGAATTAGAATCTCAAAGTTACTCCTTAGTTCTTGTTTCTTTTTTCCTTTTTTTCCATTTTGAGTGTGTGTTGGCCTCCATTTTTTTCTTTTCATTTTCTTTCACTTCTGTGCAAGACATTCCTTTCCAAAGTGTGTCGTATTCTTTCAACAAACTCGGAATGATGAAGCTTAACCCAATTTGTGTCTCTTCTCTTTTTCTTTTCTACTTTTCTTAGACGCTAATCCTTCAAGTTTTCTTTAAATATCAAAGGAGAAAATCTGTCTACCATGTGATAATAAAAAATTACTAGACTTCTTCTTTGACATCTGCAAGTTTTTTTTTTAACATTTCCCCGTAAAAAGCCATCCTTTTCAAACAAATAAAACTGAAGAAAAAATTGTTTAAAACTTTCACAAATCTTTACCATTTTCTTTATCTACCAAACTTTAAACTTCTACAAAGATTCCTTTGTCTACCTTATTTAACCTCATTTTTTCAGTGACTTGTCTTATCTGTCTTAAGTCTTGAAGCTCCAATCTTTTATACCTTCTATTATGTCATAGAATATATGATATATTACTTTGGTGAGTTTCAGCATTACTATTATCTTGTTTATATTATTATTGAACTAATAATCAATTATCTTTTAGCTGTGTTTTAGTTATATCTTCTATATTTTCATAACCATTAATTTTATTGCATTATTATCATAAATCCTCATGTCATTCTGTTACTTTGCTTTGATAAGCCTCATTACTAGTGTAGTGACTTTCAATTCATGACATTTATCTTGTTGAAAGTAAAAAAAAAGAAAAATGTATATATATTCATAATTTTATAAACCCTTTACTCAGGATTCTCTCTTCAGAGCACGAACATCTTTCATTGCTGTGCATTTGTATTCATACATTTATATGTAAATCTGGATTAGCATCATAATCTTTATTGTTCTTATTTCAGCTTAACAAAGAAAAATAGTGGAATATCAACTCTTAAACCCCTTGTCAATAAAATCATGTGTGTCATTTCCCTGTGATCCATCAAGCCGCACTTTCAGATATGAAGGAAGATATTGCGATATAACCTTATATTATAACAATTAAAAGTTTTCATCTGATTCACGGTCATTAATGTCTGACAATTTTCAAAGATTCTAAAACTTTCTGATAATAAAACACAATATTTCATTGAGATCTTTATTTTTACTTACTATATACAAAACATATATAAAAGTTACTGGAATTATGTACATAATATACACATAAATACACATACAACTGTGGCAAGCTCACTGTGGACGTTACGTGTCTCAGTTTGAACAGTGATGAACTTTTTTTTTACGTCTTTGTGACCAAAAAAACAAAAACAAAAAAAAAAAACTGACACAAAATGACCACTTCAGCTTCCTTGTTCTGAGTTATGCTGAGGCTTCTCTGCATTGCTGCATTCAGACTCTCTGCTCCTTGCATTTGTTCAGACTTTGGCAACTTGTATGCATGGATATAGATCATGAAATTTGCAGAATTCCTGAACCAAAATTGTCTTGTGAGTGTGTGTGTGTGTGTCTGCATAAAGATGTATATACATATATATATATATATATATATATATATATATATATATATATATATATATATATATATATATTATATATATATATATATATTATATATATTTATAATATTATATATATATATATATATATAATAATATATATAATATATATATATATATATATTATATATAATACATATATATACACTATTAGTATATGAACATGCACACACATGTCTACGTTTACATATACATGTACATGTAAATGCATACACACACAGGTAATGTTTCTGTGACCATTACCAGACGCAGGGAAGGTTGAAGTGATCACCGTCTTTACAAGGTTACGGTGTATAAACATTGTTAACTGTGGCGAGTGGGATCACCGTCTACCAATGTCATCTACAGAATGAAATCTACTCCTGCTTCATCTACCGGGTAGACACGAGTGGTAGACGACCTCTACTCCTTCCTTTCTTTTCACACACCAAAAGATCAGGTCACACGTCCGCCAAACACTCATCTGTACGTGTCTCTTTCTGTTACTAAAAAAATGGAAGTGGCAATGTAGTATTACCATGTGGATGAACTACCTAAAAAGGAGAGAAAAAAGTCAACAAAACATCATTGTGTGTAAAACCAAGAACATTTTTGAACTCCAATGTAGGCTGTGGATAGAAGAGAATGAAGGCATCCGCTTCCATGAAAACCCCTTGAAAGAGGGGTTATATATTAAATAATGTTTATATACACACACAAGCTGACCTTCTCAGCTTAAAAAAAAACAAAAAACATAAGAACAACTTAAGCACTAAATCTCTCTCCATGCATACAGACACACACTTGCATATATACACCTCTTGGTAACAAGGATACATGCTACAAAACAACGATGTGGAATATAGAATTTGTAGAGCATATACACAATACAATATCCAAGTCTCTTTAACTTATAACTATTTTACATAAAAAATGTTTTAGCATGTGCACAATACAACAATCATGATTATCAAAATTATTCATCTCTTGCATACAATTATCAACAAATAATGATAAAACACATACATTCTGATGGTCTTTTGCAACATGTGTGGACTGCAATCCACTGTAACTTGTCACCTGCAACATAAAAGCTAACACTCACACTAACACAACACCAAAACATGACCTCAAACATAAGCAGAGAGATTATCAATATTTGATTTTTTTTCCTTCTTTATCCTTTTTACATACAAGGAGGTTGAACATTTTGATTCAGGAGTATTAATCCATTAATTAATAACAAAAGAACATAAAAAAAGAACTTAGGAGACTTATAGTTACTTAACATATATACATAAAAGCAACACGACTGAGCTATGTGGAGACAAGAAAAAAAAGTCATGTGAATTTGACAGAATATGTTTTGTGAAGACATTGCTTCATCTACATGGTTTACAGAGAGGTCGCAGGTGCCAGTGGGTGGGTACTTTGCCTTGTTACGTACAAGGTCTAGAGGTACTTCTAGCTCTAGGCCTTGGCTCTCTACTTGCACTGTCTGTACACGTGACCAAGGGGGGCAGAAAAGGACAGGGATGCATTGAGATTGTATGAGTGTGTGTATTTCTTGTGTGTGAGAGAGTTAAGTAAGTACACATACACTTGAGACTGTGTGTGTGTGTGTGTGTGTGTGTGTGTGTGTGTGTGTGTGTGTGTGTGTGTGTGTGTGTGTGTGTGTGTGTGTGTGTGTGTGTGTGTGTGTGTGTGTGTGTGTGTGTGTGTCGTGGTGCGTGCGTGTGTGTGAACCTGATTGCATGTGTCCGTGTGTCTGCACCAGCGCCACCCGACAGACGACTGCAAGAGCGCGCCCTCCGCCTGGACCCCTCGCCACACCGCCCCCCTCCTCGCGAGCTCAAGACGACCTCAAGAGCTGGTGGCTTTCCTCAGATCTCCGTCTCGTGCTCTTAAGAAGGGGGTCATTACGGCGGCGCTGACACCTCTCAAAAAGGAAGTTCATGAACCAAAAGAAGAAGAAGAAATGAAAACAGGACTTCTTCGGGAACCTCTCTCTCTCTCTCTCTCTCTCTCTCTCTCTCTCTCCTCCCCTCGCCTGGAGCACCGTCCTGACTGCTACGACTCGACACTTCCTTCGTCCCCTTCCCCCTCTTGGAAACTGACAACAAGAGTCGAGGAGGAAGAAAGAAAAGAGAGGAAAACTCTTCGCGGAGGAGAAAACTACACACAGTCAATTAACACCTACGCTGTGTTGACCCCAAAGGGCCTATCTGACATCTCAAAGACACGAAGGGGAGGGGGTCATGGGTGGGAGGTTGGGGGAGGTCACTAACTACCTTTTGACTTCAATTACTTGAGAGAAAGAGAGCCCATGCACAGGACGGGAATCTCACCCTTATGAGCACCTATCCTTAAGGCTGAGAGTCCCTCCTTGCATTTACAATCTTGGGTGACAATAAAGTGTATATATACATACACATATAAGAGTGTATGTGTGTGTGTGTGTATAAGTGCATGTGTATGTGTATGTATATGTATACATGTATGTATGCATATATGTAAAGGTGTGTGTGTGTGTGTGTGTGTGTGTGTGTGTGTGTGTGTGTGTGTGTGTGTGTGTGTGTGTGTGTGTGTGTGTGTGTGTGTGTGTGTGTGTGTGTGTGTGTGTGTGTGTGTGTGTGTGTGTGTGTGTGTGTGTGTGTGTGTGTGTGTGTGCGTGTGTGTGCGTGCGTGTGTCGTGTACATATATATATATGTATACATATGAACAACACGCATATACATATACAGCACATGTGTGTGTGTGAACCTGCGAGGATGCGTGGCCACCCTCGCCGCGAGCACGAGAGCGCACCTCGAGATGCGCCCTCAACTAAAGAGAAAAAAATTAACATATACAAGTATCCTCGTAAAATAGAGGACGTCCTCTTTCATCTTCTCGTGTGAAGCAGACGAAAGGGAAGCGGCCGAGCAGCCCCGGGCCTTCCTTCCGTCTCCGTCTCTCCCGCCTGGCTTTATGCAAAAATATCTCCGTGGCCAGAGCGCCTTTGCGAGCGAGCGCCGTCGCTGCCGCAGACGCAGAGGCGCACACGTCCCTGGATGCCTCGAACCCGAATCGCACACTTATATAAAAATTAACCTGAGCACATTCATGTGACGTGATAGAATTTCCTTAATCTCTTTTAATGTAACAGAATTCTCTGATGTACAATAAATCTAACATTCATCATAATATAGATCTCTGGGTTTCTATTCCTTAAAGTACGAAGCGTGCGACGAGGCCGTCGGGCCGTCTCTTCTCTCGCAGCCGCGACCCACGCCCTCCTCCTCCTCCTCCTCCCGCTCGCCCTCGCCCTCCTCCCCGGCCGCCCTCCGCGACGCCGCCCTCAGAAGTTGGTCTCCTCGGGCGTGTGCGTCGGCCGGAACTGGCCCGCCTCGTCCGGCAGGAGCCTGGTGACGACGGTGGCGGTGGTGGCGGCGGTGCCAGCGTTGGTGTTGGTGGTGGAGGGCGGCGGCTGGGGCGTGAGGGGCGCCGAGGCTCCCCCTTGGGCGAGGGGATGGTGGGCGTGGGCGGCGTGGTGGGCGTGGCTGGCGTGCTTGGGCCAGGCGGGGGCGGATTGTCACACGTAGCTCTCGGTGCGGCGGCCGAGGCAGCGGTTGTAGCAGTTCTTCCAGACGGCGAGCGTCTTGCCCGACCACACCCAGAAGCCCGACGTGATGCCCACCACCAGCGTGCTCAGGTACTTGACCATGAAGAAGATGAAGTCGGGCTTGGCCAGCGGCGTGTCCCTGTCGACGCCGGGCGGGCAGTTGATGTTGTAGGTGACCCAGGGCTCCTCGCGGGACGCGCACTTCTCGCGCTGCCACGCCACCATCCACTCGTCGTGGCGCGCCTGCTCGTAGAACAGGCAGGCCACCAGCACGGTCGCCGGCACCGTGTACAGCACCGAGAACACGCCGATGCGCACCATGAAGCGCTCCAGCTTGTCCGTCTTGGTGCCGTCGTGCTTCATGATGGTGCGGATGCGGAACAGCGACACGAAGCCCGTGAGCAGGAAGGCCGTGCCCAGCACCAGGTAGAAGAACAGCGGCGCCAGCACGAAGCCCTGCAGCGCCTGCACGTTCCACAGCCCCACGAAGCACACGCCCGTCATCACGTCACCTGCGGAAGGGGAGGGCGTTAGTGGGCGGGAAGGGTGACGAGGTAGAGAAAAATGTAATCATAGTTATAGAAACATCATCATTAACAGAAATAATAATTATTATTATGAAAAAAACATCAATTCTATCAAAAACCTTAAAACTATTAATATCAAAGAAAACGCTGTATCAATACTAACAAATACCATTCAAAAATATCAATACTATCTAAAACAAAATATCATTAACAATTACTGGAAACATATTAATGAACATTACTTGACAGATATAAAACAT